CAGGTAACATGTAAATTACACTTTCCAGTGGCTACACCTAGACCTACCAGGGAACATCAGCTATATCTAGTTACCTAACCTTTGCGATATACGCACCCTAACCATGATCCTGAGACTCAAGCTCATATCACGATACCATATGTATATATATAAATCCTTCATAATACAGAAAAGTAAAACAAACATCCATTATGTCGTTCAACTGTTTTAGTTGACAGGACATGCATCCATGTAGGATTTAATTGTTTTAGTTAATCAATTCCGTATGTATGAATAAGTAGGACTTAGCGTTTTGATCTAATCCATTCTTAATATGCCACAGACCCATACCGGCGCATATAATGCATATGATCCATAAATGATTGACACTCAAATGAACGTCAAATGCATCCTATTATGCATCCAGTATATGATTATAATCATAGAACCTCTGTTTAAATTGTTAAAGTAATTATAAACAATTTAAACCATCGATGTCTATCCAATTGACAAAACAGAAATTATAACAGTTCATCAATTAACATTCATAGCATAATATAATGATTATCAGAATTATAAATTGAGCACATTATACTAGAATTCCCAAACGATACTTTCATACTAGTTCATTTAAATTACTAAAACAAAGACTAGTAATCAAATCCTCCCCAATCCTTGACGACATGCAAATTAAATGTTTACATCTCGTGACGTCCATTCAGACCTTAATTATAAAACCTGTAAATGCTATAATGACACTCAGAAGTCTAAACTGCACATTATATGAAACCACAATAGTATTTTATTCTAATCCATTTAAATTGGTTAAAACAAAACCAGCGAGTAAAACTTCCTCAACTCCTAACAGCATGTAACTTAGTATCTAAAGCTCATGTTGTCTATAACCATATCCTAAACCAACCTTTCTGGCCTTCATTATATATCATTGATATAACATCTTATAAATAATTTCTTACCAGTTCGTTTAAGTTGCTAAAACAAAGTAGCCAATAAAGCCTTCCTCCTTCCTTGTCAGCATGCTAATTAAATGTTTATATTTCATGATGTCTCCTAAGATTAGCACACTAGCATATACTAACTGTTTTAAGGGTTAATTTTAAACATTGAAAACCCCCCATTCACTTTCCAGAAATCACATTCAAGCCTCTAGAACCCAAAAACCTTCAGAAAACACCCGTAGGTGTGCACCAACCTAGGGGAGCCGGCTCTCCCTCATGGAGAGCCGGCTTTCTCACCTAGGGAGCCGGCTCCCTCCCTTAGGGAGTCAGCTTCTTCGCCTTTAGTCTTCTTTTTCGCTTCCGGCGAAGTTTCAGTTGTCTGTCCTAATTTTTAAAAAGATTTTAGAGTTCAATCCAAGTCCTAATAGTCCTAAAAACTCCTCAAATTTCATTATAAATTAATTGACAAAAATTTAAAACAGAATCGAAACGATTTATGCAAGAAAACAATTACAGTTACATAAAACGTAAAAATAGTCTGCAGTTCGATTCATTATGCATCAACATCCATTTTAAAATTTAAATTAGATTCCTAGAGACGATATAAAATGCACAAAATACAAGTTTACAGGAAGGAGATAGAATGAAACTTGCCTTTAGGTTTTGGTTTGAAACTGTTCAACTTCGTCTCTAAATTCTCCGACGATTGCCGACTACCAGTAAACCTCCTAATGCTCAATTTCAATCCCACAAGCCATCCCTTCCTTCCTCCTTGGTATAACCTTCAGTCCACGACTAAAATCCTAACTGACGGTTCTCACAGTTTCCGCTCAAGCTCCCCTCTGTTTTTCCCCTCAAGAACCATTACGTGCCTCTGTGTTCCCTCTCAAGAACTATTACGTGAATAGGGTTTTCAACCCTAGCAGACGTATACTGCTCTATATATACAGGCCTTTATTAAACTTACTTCTAATTCCAACTAAATTATAAGTCGGCTCATCAATCTTCATAAAAGAAAAACCCTAAACCTAAACTATACATACGACCATATAAAATATAAACCAATTAAGTCATACAAGCCATATAAAACACAAGTTATTTAAAACACCAATTAATCAAATAATTAAATTACATCACAATTAAACAATTAAAGGAAAACAAATAAACAATTAATTTAAAACAAATACACAATTAGTCAATTAAGCAAATAAGCACATAAGTCACATAATTAAATAAAAATACAATAAAATCTAAAATCATTAATTAAAATACCCAGACTATCCTTTCTAAAATTAGGGGTATTATAGGGGGGGCGGATGTGAAGGGGTTTGTTGCTTGCTGTTGCTGGTTTATTTGAAAGACTCGTAATAAGCTTGTTTTTAATGGAGATGGTTGGCCTGCCCAACGGGTTGTTAATCTGGCATGTTTCTCTTTTTGGGAGTTCAAGGATGCCCCAAATTTCTTGCATTTGGGAGTGCCTCGTGGAGTGCTTGGAGCCAGAGCTAGTTTGCCGGTGTTCTCTCCCATGTCACGCTGGTTTCCTCCTTCCCCAGGTTTTATTAAATGTAATGTAGACGTTTTCTTTTCCTTTTTGTCCCAAGTGGGGGGTGGGGGTGCGGTCTTTCGAGACTCTTGGGGTCAGATTTTGCAGACAGTTGTTTTCAGTCTTTTCCCTACGTCTAGTGCAACATCGACGGAGGCTATATGTCTTCGTAAAGTAGTTTTTTGGGCTCTGTCTTTTACTTTTGATTATGTTTGGTTTGAGTGCGGTTCTCTAGTTGTGGTTAAGGCTATGTCTGAAGTTGATCCTGGACCTACTGAAATTCATGTGATTTCTTTTGATATTAAAGTGGCGTTTCAAAGTTTTCCTCATCTTCTGTTAGCCATGCTCATAGGCATGGCAATGAGGGGTTGCCTACGCTCTTGCTGCGCTGTCTCGAAGTGATATTCCAAAGGATGTTGCTCTTGTCCATATTCCGTTTGATATTTGTCGCTTAGCAGCTATGGATTGTATGTCTTGATGTGTTTGTGCTACTCTTCCTATTTGCCAGGTTAAAAAAAGAAGAAGAAGAAACTCAACTAGAACCCACACACGGGCCTTCAGCCAAGAAAAATAAATAAATTTATATTTAATGTAACAATTATCTCACAATAATGTTAATTACTATTTACTACAAAATTTAAAGTTATATATATATGTGTGTGTGTGTGTGTGTTCACCAGCATAATATGTTGCTTGAAGTTAATGAACCTTGATTACGGGAGCAGAGATTCGGAAAGCTTTATTATTTATTATTTATATTTTTTATTTTGAAAAATTAGGAAAAGGGAGTAAGGGCGGTTCAATATAATTTGATGTCTGAGGCGAAAATTATAAAAGTGACATTTTATTGTGTTAATAATGTTATTTCAATGAAACTATTTGTGAGTAGGGGACACACATTTTATTAATATTATGAATTAAGTGAATAATTTTTTTTTTTTTTTCACTATTGTATAATTTTTAAATTATTTAAAAATTAATTTCCACAATTATTAGTTATTTTTTTAAACTTCATTATTAGTCCTTAAATATATATTCAATAGAAACGTGGAAGAAGGGGAGATAACAAAAAATTCACTTTAAAAATAAAAAAGTCTATAAAAAAGAATAATAATAATATACAACAAGCCGGAAGTAATAATTTTAGGATCCTTACGAAAGCGAGAGCGATAAGCGTCAAAGTCTAAATTTTTTAAAAGCGGGAGTGTCTTGAGAGCATCTATATATTAGGGTCAAAGTCTAAATTTTTTAAAAGCGGGAGTGTTTTGAGAGCATCTATATATTAGGTTTAAATAAAATTATATCAGGTTATTATATATAGATATATATTTAAATCCATATGCAAATATATTCATTATTAATTTATTCCATTAATTATACATGTTTGAAAATATATTACTAAAAAACTTCCCAATTGAAGAATATTACAAATAAATCACCAATCTCCCCTACTTGAAGAATATTGCATCAATGGGGACGGATATTCACTACTTTTTATAGGTTATATCCTTTGAGCCGGACCTTAGAGACTATATTAGGAGAATGAAGGCTTGGATCTTCTCATTTGAGATCTGCTTGGAAACATTAGCTAATAGCCCGTGGTTCCTTCTGAGCCAGGATCTAAATTTCACGTGTGTCCCAACTGTATGGCATTATTATATTACCCCATATATATATATGGAGTAATAGTGTAAGTAATAAATGCATATATGATAATTTATGTGTTGCATATCACTGTGACTTTAACAAATTTAGCTGTACAAAGTAAATTCACCTCTTCGGAGGAATTGTATTACTTTGGTCCTTATAGTATGGAAATAGTTACAATTAGTTAGAACTAATAATATAAGGAAATAAAATTTTTAAGAAGTGGAAATAATAATTTTAAGGCCTTTGCTCGACTAAAATGTTTGAAAGTTGAAATAATAATTTTAAGATCTAATTGATAAATGAATTAAAATTTTTAAAAAGTCTAACATAAGGAAACAATAATTTGAAGGGCCTTTCTATTGAGAGAGACCTTAAACACTGCCTAAGTCGCCACCTAAGGGATAGTTTCAAACCCCGTGTTAAAGCTAAAGGCTATGCCAATAACTCCATTTAGAAAGCTTTATTACCAGGAGAAGATTGGCATAAAAGGATCATCATTTGGTCAAACCTTGAAAGTAATGTTTGGCTTTGGCAAAACGAAAAGCGAAAGCAAGTATTCAAATGAAAATAATTAAAACAGCAAAACAAACTATATTTATGTCTTCCAGATTTTCTTACTACTATAGTGTTTTTGACCTGTAGATAATAAAACTATATAATAAACTAAAGTGTTACCACTTTGAAATAATTGAAGCCAACTCATTTCCTTTTATTATAATTTACATACTACTTTAATTCATAAATAAATAATTGAACCATCTTGAGAAGTAAGATTTGAATTCTGTACCTTTCCCGTTTCAATTACATACAAAGTGGATAGATTCTCATAAACCACACGTCAGTTGGTCACTGACGAACAAGAAATCACCTTTTTCCAAACTGTAACTATATTTAACCGTCTCAGATACATAGTCAAAAACAAAAATAGAAATATCATTGTAAAATTTGTCAATTATGAGTATATTATAATGTACAAACAACCTCAACTCTCCTTCCCACCTCCCATGAGAAAAAAAAACATTGATCAGAGTACCAAAATATCTCTATTAGTAAACCCAACACAAATGTTGTACTATGTTGAGATTCACTCTCAAATGCATTACAACACTTATAATATTTGGTAGAGAATTTAGTCTCGAACCTCTTTTTGTCTTTTGTCTTTCTACTCGTGATGTATTACAACATATTTGGTAGAGAATTTAGCCTCGAACCTTTGTTTTTGTCTCTTGTCTCTCTACTCGTGATGCAGTACAACACTTCTAATATTTGGTAGAGAATTCGGCCTTAACCTCTTTTGTCTCTCGACTCGAAGTCGAGGGTGTTTTAATAGACCAAACACCTGAAAAATGAATGCTAATCATAAAGGTAATTCTACAAATGACAAGAAAATTTTATTTTTTCCACCAACTCTAATAAAAAATGTCCCACAAAATAGTAACAAAAACGGAATTGAAATTTGTTTAACATTTTTCTTAACGTAAATGTAAATTAATCACAAACAATATATCTATATATATATGTATATGTACCTCAAGAATCAAGAGCATAGAGTGTTTGTAAAAGATCATAAGGCGCCCACAAGGCGTCCAACGGACACGGCCGGTTGGCGTCGAGCCGAGCCCACGGCTTCCCCTTTCCACTCCAATGCAACAGGCTCACCGGACCGGGATGCAAATCCCGGCAAAGCCCCCGGTAATTGTCCCCTCCGAGGCCGTGCTGGTTCCACCGGTGATCCACCGGAGCTATGTTTCCGGCGAACACAAGCAAAAATGGAGGCAACGAACCCAACTCATAAATTCTCATCCTTTTCTGAAGCTCCATCCATTCCACAATCTTCCTAGTGTAGTCCCCATCTCTCCACCTCTCCAGATCAATCACCATCACTCCGGTGTTGAAGTAACACGCGTTCCGGCCGGCGAAGGTGAGAGATAGTGATGGGTTGGACCAAAACGTCGGCGTAAAGTAGGAGGTGAAGTTGGCATTGCAGTACTCCGGCGCCGCCAGGACCGCAGCGTCGCCGAGCGGCGTGGCGGCCAGCTTGGCGATGTCGTCGACGAGGACTAGGTCGGAGTCGAGGTAGACGATTTTCCGGACGCACGTCGGGAGGAGATCGGCGAGGTAGTTCCGCGCGTAGTTGAGTGGGCAGTCGAGCGCGGAGCGGATGGAGGTGGAGATGAGCCCGGCGACGGCCGAGTCGTCGAAAGGGTAGATTTGGAATTTCAAGTATGGGAATGAGGTGGCGATGGTGAGGTTGAGGTGGTGGGTGTTGGTGGAAGCGGATGTAACAAAGTGGAAAATTATGTTTTCCGGGCAGGAGCAGTGTTGGAGGACGGAGAGGATGGCGGCGACCGAGCCACGGAGGTAGGCCGCGTCGAGGGTCATTGCCACGTGTACCGCGTTGTCGTAGCAAATAGTGGTGGTGGTGGAGGAAGCGTTTTCATGGTGGTGAATGGAAGGGCAGTTTGGGGAATTGTAGAATAATGGGGCTTCTTTAAATTTCTGTGAAGCTTGAACAACAACAATAACAAAAGATAGAAACAATAGAAGAGAGAAGAGAGTGTGACTTGAAGATGAAAGTTTAGGCATCATTTGAGCCTAACAAAAGAAGTAGTTCAAAGTTTCATGGACATGAGAGGAGAATGCATACAGAACTCTCTCTCACTAAAACTCACTTTCTCTCTCTAGAATTGTTGGGGGTCAGCCAACTCTTAATGTGAGTGTGGATCTCTCTATAAGTAATATTTGTAAATAATTGAAGCAACAATTAAAATGCTATGTACTATGTGTCAATGGATTTGATGACCAGAGGGAATTCAAATGGCGAATCAGACGGCAGGGAAAGTGCCAGCACGTAGTCTTCCGTGGGACCCATGAGTTAATGTACGGTCAAAATCAAAATCAAATTTATATTTTGATTTTGATTTTTGAAATTTGATTTTTGTACTTAGCTGAGCCATCCTCGTCGAGTACAGGTTCAGGACAGCGAGTTTCCTTGGGTTTGACGTCTCGAGCTTTTCTGGTGAACCATCGTGCCAGTGGCTAAACCCCATTGTCATATTTTCAACGATAAATGCCATATATTTAATGTCCTTCACTCTCGTTTTGTTGATTTGGTACTCAATGCCTCTCTCACCTTCTATTTGGGAGGACGGGTTGGGATTTAAAATTAAAGAAAATTATTTTAAAGTTTGAATACTAGATTTTTATAATTACCTTAATAGATAGATCCAATAAGGATATTCTAAAAGAATAAAAATAATTTTCTGAGATTCATATGGCAATTATTAATTGCTAAATCAAGTGTGTTGTATAATAAGTAAAATTCGTCCTGGTTTGAAGCAGACTTTCTAAAATTTTTAAGATTCCCGCTATTTAGTCCCGACAAATAAAAAATTACTATTTTATCGAGTCCATGTGACAATTTATGTATCAAATATAATTGAACCCATATTAAAATATAAGATAATCAACTATGTAAAAAGTTGTAAACATTTATTGTAGATTTCATCTTAATTTAGTATCTTTGTTGGCAATTAAAGTTTCAATCAGCATGTATATATCAAATTGTCTATCTATTATGTATATAAACATCATATTGCATTTATGTAAGAACTCTTGAGATACTTCAAACATCTCTAATATATAATTAGATTGTGTATCCCTCGTTATATATAAAATATTGTGTTTTTGATCATTAATATACATTAATTACTTTGATAGGCATTTATTAATTGTTATAATGATCAAAGCTGTTGATCCATTGAATCCCAGAAACAAAAAAAAAAAAAAGGAGAGGAATTTATTTATTTATTTTTTTTTAGCAAAGTATTGAAAAATTGTAAAAAAAAAAAACATTATAATTTTTGTTGTAAATTTTGCATAAATCAAATTCATATATTTGAATGAAAAAAAGAAAAAGAAAAGGAAGATACAACTATAAATGGAAAACTAAAAAAATAAGGAAATGAGATATGAAAAACTGAAAAATAAAGAAGGAAAAATAGACGTATTTTATAAAAACAAAACAGAATAGTAATAATGCTTATTAAAGTTGAAATTTTAGAATAAACCCATATTTTTATCTCTGTCTGGTTTAAGTTAGCATTTTAAAATCTTTAAAAATATCATTTACCAATTTTTAAATTCAAGATACAATTTAATTTTTCCAAATATAACATTAATTATATAAGTGTTGAATGTATTATCATCCTGCATCATTTTTGTCATCGCATTTATCTCAATCATATATCTTACTTTATGTTAATCGACACTGAATAATAATTAATAACTATTAACTTCTTAAAAACATAGCACTTAATAACATAAAAACAGAAATTTATGAGATAAATTTAGAAACCCTAATCTTAGATTTGGTTTTTGTTCCGGATATTCAGTTGAACATTAAACGCTGATCCCTAATTAAGCTCATCAATGTCTATTAATTCAAAGACACTTGGCTTAATTTAATAACCTATAGTAAATACTTATTTAATGTCCATAATTTACGCCACCCATTTGTCCATCCACATCAATCCTCCATGACTTAATTGCCGGGCGAGAGAAACTACAAAAAGAAAGAAGGTTGCCACATAGCCACACAGATTGGGCACACATGGTTCTTATGTGGGGTCCATAGAAAAAGATAAGTAGGTCAGTTTGGAGAATAGAAATAGACAGCCAAACAAGAAAAAGGCCATCTTGTAGCGATATATTTTCCTTTCCAAACATGTGACCTACCACTTTAATTCATTAGTAAGCTAAAAAGAGAAGATTATAATGACTTTAAAGACATGCCCAATGCTCTCATTGAATCATAACACATTTGAAACTATTTTTTTTTTTTTCATGGGAAAATCATGAGTTTGATTCAAACTACATTAGTTTAACACCACACACATATAATGTTAGTCCAGTCTCTCGTGAAAGAAAATCCCCTCCTATATACAATAGGAATCATGTTTTGTATAGTTCGAGATGCACTTACTAAACATCTTAGCTTTTTATAAGGTTTATCTTTAATTGAACGGAACATGTCTTATTGTTCCATAGGAGATACCTTGCCATTGCATATAGATGTACGTAGTCTTATTATTTATGTATGATTATTTTTTCATTTTGAATCCATAACCTTCCGATAAAGCACAATAAATTAAAAACATGCTTATAAATTAAAGCAAATATTAAAATGTTTGAGTTGAAAGATGAGTCCAAGGTAAAAGATTACCTTTGAGGCTAGAGAACCCTACACAAAATACATTGGATGGCTTGAAATGAGACCTACAAATCAAATGTTTAGAGCTTAAAGCAATTCCTTTTAGAGCAACTGCAATGGGCTGTCAATCTCAAAATATAGCAGGTGAGTTTAAAATGGGGTCTCTAATAGACTGTCAAATGGGCTGCCAAAATATAATTTTGCCAAATCTTGTGCCAAATATAACACAACATATAGCAACTGCTATTACTCTCTAGGGCGACAGCTCGCTGTGAGCAGTGGCTTTCGCAAGGTATGTGAAACATCCCTCTGCTTTGTTGCTTTGATTTTTCATTTTGATTGTGTTGGTCTATGTACAAGTATGGTTGAACTCTCTGCAAATTTGATAGAAAAAACTATTTTTGGTGGAGAAGAGATTGAGGTGGTGATGGTGGGGTTGTGACACTCTTGTGATTAAAGAATATTTAGGACATTAAACTTAAAATGGCCATTAATTGGAAATAATTTTTTAAGATATGCCAATATGGGTTTTGAACTTTTGATTCTTGCAGATAGATAGATAGACTGAAATATATGGGTTTTGAACTTCTGATTCTAGTAGATTTTGTAGTTTGCAGTTGGAGAGAGAGAGAGAAAGAGAGGGCAAGTTTAGAGTCGAGAACGAGAATATAGATGGAGGTGATTGGGGAGGCTGAAATGATTTGCCCTAAAAATATTTTGTAGTTTGTTTTTTTATGTGGGACAGAATGCAAGGAATGGTAAAGATGGGAAGGTGATTTCGAAATCAACGGTGCTCAAGAGTAAGAGTTAAAGTAGGATTGAGAAAGTTAGAAGTGGGTTGGGCTTAGTTCAATGAAGGCTGAGAATTGCTAAAATATAGTGGATTAAATGCACAATTGGAACAGAATTGTTAAAATATAACATTTTGACAGTGTAATTCCTCTCAAAATATAAATTTGACATACAAAAATAATATTTTGCATTGAAGATGATCTTAGATTCAAAATTGGCTCCGAAATCAATATGTCCTATAAAAAACGTAACTCATGCATCAATTATAACAAATAATTGGTTGTTGTATGCACTTCAACTTAAAATAGTGAAGTACATGCACTTTCTACATGTCACAACCTCCAAGTGCCAAATTGAGGAATTGCTACACATGGGTATGATCCCAAATATACCCATTCCCCTCAACAGAAAAATGTGATAATGCACGGAAGAGTAATGTCATAATATTCGATGGAAATTTTTTTTTATTTTGTTACGACTCCAATCAATTGGGTATAAAAACGGATTTTTAATCAATAATAATATTAAATAAAATCTCTCTATGTTTATAGAGTGTTAATTTTAATAATTATTCCATTAATCGATAACAAAAATTGGTCGAATTTGTGAACCAAATAACTGTAATAAATAAAATACATTATGGACCGATTGGTGTAATTGAATAGTGAGCAAAAAAGTGGGGAAGGAGCAAGCACTAGTGTCATTGAAATGCATGTGCACCTCACATGCACTTCATTTAAGTTTTCTTTTTGGCCTTATAACCAACACTGATGGGATAATCCAACTTCCATTATTATTATTTGGGTACCATCCAAAACACTTGTATAACAGCATACCATGTGCTACACGTGACGACGTCAGAAAACTCAAACTTCTTATCAATAAGCTGTTTGACATGGATGATGTTTAGTTGTTCACTCAATCTTGTTATCAATAAGCTGTTTGACATGGATGATGTTTAGTTACTCATCCGATGAGTAAGGAAAGCTACACATTTTTATGTAGTTTAATAATAAAATAACACATCATATTTAATAAAAAAAATAATTCACACTTAAAATAACTATATACATTTAATTAATGATTGATTCGAGAAATTAGAAAAAAATGTGAATTATTTTATTATTAAAAATAATATATTATTTTGTTATTGGACCAATAAGAGTGAATAGTTTCACCTACTTACCAGTGAGTAGCTAAACATTGTCCATTTAAAATTATATAATAGAGTGAAATATGGTAATTAACTCATCCATGCAACAGTGAATATATATATACACACACACATATACACACATCCATATAGAGTGAGAGAATTAAATAGTTTGTCACTTTGAACTTTCTTTTCTTTAATGTTTCTTTTCTTTTCCTTTTTCCTTTCCATTTTCAGCGGATCTCCCAAATCTAGAGAGACTGAGACGTGGCGTGTTGCCGACACCTGAGGTGAGTCAGAATTAGCCGCCGAAAAGTCAGCCAAACACAACCCAGAATTCAATGCAATCTAAAATATATTACTCCGTATGAGTTAATGAGAACAATAGTTTAAAATTTAATAAAACAAAAATAACAAATATCTAACTTTAAATTTTAAATTAACGATTTATTTATAATTATATGAATAGAATAACAGAAATATGTTATATATATATATATAATATTTTTTGACCTATCCATGCCGTACTAAAAGTTTCTACATCTGTCTGGATTTCTTAAGAAGATGAAAAC